GGGCTGCATTGAGATGGCCTGGATCATGGGTCTGATCAAGAACCACAATGGTCCCATCAAGGGCGTCCACTATTCCGGCTGGGTTGATGCTAAGACTGGTGAACCCGTCGACGACAAGGAGATCAAGGTCAAGTACGAGAAGCACATCCTCGCACACTCCGGTATCCGTCTCATCGAGCCGGAACTATTTGAAGGGTACAACCCCGAGCGCAAGCAGCTCCTCCATGAGGTTGTCATTGAGGAGGATCTTGATCCCTTTGAGGCGTCCAAGGAGACTGCTGAAGAGTTCAAGCGCGAGCATGGCGACAAGGTCGAGGTGTTCGAAATCCCTGAAACCGGCCAGTACACGGTCCGCCTGAAGAAGGGCGCCGGGCTCTGGATCCCCAAGGCTCTCCGCTTCGACCGTCTGGTTGCTGGCCAGATCCCAACCGGATGGGATGCCAAGCGTTACGGTGTCCCCGAGGATATTATCTCCCAGGTCGACCCTGTCACGCTCTACACTCTGGTTTCCACTGCCGAGGCTCTTCTGTCCTCTGGTATTACTGATCCCTATGAGTTCTATAAGTATGTCCACGTTTCCGAGGTGGGCAACTGCATCGGTTCAGGTATGGGTGGATCCACTGCCCTTCGTGGAATGCACAAGGATCGCTTCCAGGACAAGCCGCTTCAGAACGATATCCTGCAGGAGTCCTTCATCAACACAATGGCTGCTTGGGTCAACATGTTGCTCATCTCCTCATCTGGTCCCATCAAGACTCCTGTCGGTGCTTGCGCCACTGCTGTTGAGTCGGTTGATATCGGTTGCGAGACCATCATGGAGGGCAAGGCTCGTGTCTGCCTTGTCGGCGGTTTTGATGACTTCGGTGAGGAGGGCTCCTACGAGTTCGCCAACATGAAGGCCACCAGCAACACGGTTGATGAGTTTGCCCATGGCCGTACCCCTGGCGAGATGTCCAGACCTACTACCACCACTCGTAACGGCTTCATGGAGTCCCAGGGTTGCGGTGTCCAGGTCATCATGTCTGCCAGACTTGCCTTGGACATGGGTGTCCCCATCCACGGTATCCTTGCTCTTACTACCACCGCTTCTGACAAGATTGGCCGCTCTGTGCCTGCGCCTGGCCAAGGTGTGCTCACCACTGCCCGTGAGAACGCTGGCAAGTTCCCGTCGCCGCTACTTGACATCAAGTACCGTCGCCGCCAGGTTGAGCTGCGGAAGAAGCAGATCAAGCAATGGAAGGAGTCCGAGCTCGAGTATCTGGCCGAAGAGGCTGCGGCCATGAAGTCTCAGGATGCCGAGTTCAATGAGCAGGAGTACATGGCTAACCGTGCCGTTCATATTGAGGAGGAGGCTGCCAGACAGGTCAGGGAGACACTTCGTAGCTTCGGAAACGACTTCTGGAAGCAGGATACCTCTATTGCCCCTCTCCGTGGTGCTTTGGCTACGTGGGGTCTTACCGTTGACGACCTCGATGTTGCCTCGTTCCACGGTACATCTACCAAGGCGAACGACAAGAACGAGTCTTCGGTCATTTGCCAGCAGCTTGCTCATCTTGGCCGCAAGAAGGGCAACGCCGTGCTCGGTGTCTTCCAGAAGTACCTCACCGGTCATCCCAAGGGTGCTGCTGGTGCCTGGATGTTGAACGGCTGCCTGCAGGTGCTCAACACGGGTCTTGTGCCCGGCAACCGCAATGCCGACAACGTCGACCAAGTTATGGAGAAGTTCGACTACATCGTCTATCCTAACCGCACTTTGCAGACGGATGGTATCAAGGCTTTCACCTTGACATCGTTCGGTTTCGGTCAGAAGGGCGCCCAGGCCATTGGTATCCACCCCAAGTACCTGTATGCCGTCCTGGACGAGGCTGAGTATGGCGCCTACTGCAACAAGGTCGAGGCCCGCCAGAAGAAGGCATACCGCTACTTCCACAATGGTCTGATCAACAACACCCTGTTCGTGGCCAAGGACAAGTCGCCATACAGCGACGAGCAGCTGAGCAAGGTGCTCCTCAACCCTGACGCTCGTGTATCCTCGGACGCCAAGACGGCTGACCTGAAGTACGCCAACGACTTCATGAAAGCTTCTGAGAAGAAGATCTCGCCTCAGAAGAACAAGAGCACGCTGGAGACCGTCACGGCTTTATCTCGGAGCCTTGAGTCCAAGGACACCAAGGTTGGTGTTGATGTCGAGGACATCGCCGCCATCAACATCGACAACGAGACCTTCATCGAGCGAAATTTCACGCCCAAAGAGATCGGGTACTGCCGTCAGGCACCCAGCCCCCAGAGCTCTTTCGCTGGTCGGTGGAGCGCCAAGGAGGCTGTCTTCAAGTCTCTTGGTGTCTCGAGCCGGGGAGCTGGTGCACCTCTGAAGAGCATTCAGATCCTCCCAAATGAGGACGGCACCCCTGTTGTTTCGGTATGTTGACCTCATCCTTCTCTACAAGTTAAGTCTGGACGTATTCGACTAACATGTTTAATAGCTCCATGGTGATGCTGCCGCTGCGGCCAAGGAGGCCGGAGTCAAGGGAATTAGCGTGTCTATTTCCCATTCCAATACCCAGGCAATCGCCGTTGCCGTTGCCTCCTTCCAATAAGCGCTTCTTGTAATTCATGGGTCTTAGGCCGGTGTTAGGCGGATGTTTCCTTATTTTAGCGACATTTAGTTAGACTGGTGGTTTCCAGGATGGGTTCAATGGCGATGAATAGATTCACGATGCATAGGAGCTGGAGAGAATTGCTTGCGTTTGTCAATAGCAGTATAGTAATAGACAGTTACCATCAGATGACCTAACTGCAGCCTTGTACTCATAACCGCTTCTGTGTCATTTACATCATCTTGCACTATCAATTACTCCCGTACACCGTCACAATCAAGCAGATGCTGTGGAATGCGCCGCCGCGGGATTTAGTGTCAAAGTCGGAGCTGGCCGGCGGCCGCACCGCAGCGCCCCGTGCTGTGCCGAGGTACGTACCTCCGGTTGCAACGTCAGCGACCGATAGCTGTGAACCCAGCTGAAAGAGGACAACTTCCACAAAGATAAAAGGGGTCCAACCAGTTTCCTATCTCCAGGTCGCGCGTGTTTCGATTCCTGTTTGGGTTTGGTAAACCGGGGTTTTTGTTGTTTGCTAGTTAGAAACGTGCAATCTGTCGCAAACAGTATCGACTTAAAATACCAACTGTTTCCACTGCTAAATCCTGGGAGGTTGACGAACTAGTCTGCATCTCACGAATACACAGAGACTGGAAAGATAGAAGGCATCTTTATGGACAAGATGGCGGGCGAGAGAAAGAATACCGTCTTCTACGGCACTTTCATCCACAGCAAGTCGCTCGATGAGCTGGAGTATCTGCACAACACGGCCGTCTTCGTCGATAAGGAGGGCAAGATCGTCGCTGTCGAGAGGGAATGCGATCTCACCACGGCTTTGACGATCAAGGTCTCGGAACTGGGCTGGAATCCTGATGTAGCTATTGAAGCTCCTAGAGAAGGACAATTCTTCTTCCCGGGTCTTATCGGTGAGTTTTTGACGGCGCGGCTCGTGTCTTCTTGGCGGCTACTGATATTGGGCAGACACACATATTCACGCGTCGCAATACCCCAACGTGGGCATCTTTGGTAAATCGACGCTCCTGGATTGGCTGAACAAGTACACCTTTCCGCTAGAGGCTAGCCTAAACGACCTGGACAAGGCGAGGAAGGTGTATACGCGCGTGATCCGCAAGACCCTCAGCCACGGGACGACCTGCGCCGCGTACTACGCCACCGTCGACGACCTGTCGACCGTGTTGTTCGCGGATCTATGTGCAAAGGCGGGGCAGAGGGCGTTGGTGGGGAAGGTGTGCATGGATCAGATGGCGCCGGACTGGTATCGTGATGAATCCTGGGAGGAGAGTATCGCGGCCACGAAGAGGTTGATCTCCCATGTGGAGAGCATGGATTCGGAGATGAGGCTTGTGAGGCCGGTGATCACGCCGAGATTCGCGCCGAGCTGTTCGAAGAGGCTGTTGAAGGAGCTGGGGAACTTGGCCAGGGAGACGGGGTTGCCGGTGCAAACGCATATTAGTGAGAACAAGGGGGAGATAGAGCTGGTGAGGAAGATGTTCCCGAAGGAGGAGACCGGGGCGAGGGATGATAGCTATACGGCGGTGTATGATGTTTATGGGCTGTTGACGGATAAGACGATCCTGGCGCATGGGATACATCTGAGTGAGGAGGAGGTGGAGGTGATCAAGCAACGAGGGAGCAAGATCTCGCATTGTCCTTGTTCCAACTCTTCCATTACTTCGGGGGAGGCGAGGGTGAGGTGGCTGCTGGAGAAAGGCGTGGGTGTCGGCTTGGGGACGGACATGTCGGGTGGATATTCACCGTCCGTACTGGAGGCGGCGAGGTCGGCGCTTTTGGTGTCCAGACATGTGGCTATGAAGGGGGATGACAACGCCAAGCTGAGTGTGGAGGAAGTTCTGTACTTGGCCACAAGAGGAGGTGCAGAGGTGGTTGGGTTGGAGGGCAAGGTTGGAGCATTTGAGGTGGGCATGGACTGGGATGCGCAGCTGATAGGATTATGTGAAGTGGATGATAAAGGAGGAGTCGCTGAGGAGGAAGAGGAGGGAAATGTTGACATCTTCGGCTGGGAGAGCTGGGAGGAGAAGGTGGCCAAATGGTTGTTCAACGGGGATGATCGAAATACTAGGAAAGTTTGGGTCAAGGGAAGGTTGGTTCATGTTAGGAAGTAGAAACGAATTCCCCGATTACTAGACACGTGTAGCGTTTTGTGTTAGAGCAGGCAAGATATCAAACATGTTGATATGACTTTTGTCTTGGATGTCCTTTCATGAGCAGGCGAGTTAGGGAGAGAGTGAACAACAACTCCAGGTGCCCTGCCACCCTAATCAGCCCTGTTGAGTTCTCTAATGTTAGAATGTGTCAAGACTGACGCAAAAGCAAGATTCCTCTTCGAAGTTACGGCTTAGATGACCAAAAAACAGGAAAAAGAAACGACGAAGATGGGACTCGAACCCACAACCTCAGTCTGTCTTCCCCGTTGTTCTGGTCAGGAACAAGGCGTAGGAGGACCACACGCTACCATTGCGCCACTTCGCCGGCTATGGAGGTGCAAAACGCGGTATTTTCTTGAGTAATTATTGTTTCTGCCTGAGGCATCAACAAAGCCGTTGTCGATCCCATACGCAGCATACCCTACACCTGTTCCAGTCCTCGACATACTTCCACGCCACCGTGTCTGTGGTCTTCGCAACAATGGCTTTTTACCTGGTACTTAGGCTAGTAACACAGGTGGTATGCTAGAGGCTGGCCTCATATGCTGTTCGGCGAGTGTCCCTATGCACTGAGTGCTTGAGACGTTTAAGTGAGCAGACCTTCTCCCAAATATGTGTGGGCCGCATCAAAAAAGAACACTGAACTGCATTTGTCTAAAATTGCCTCTAGTTATAGACTTATAGTCGTAATACGTCTACTCGTACTGTATATACCCGCACGCATCGTGTGACATTGCCAGCGTCCAGTTCATCATTACTGCTAGAAGCTGACGAGGTATACGGAGAACAATATAGGGGTCTTGCGAGAACTCACTTTGGAGGGGGGATAAGATGTTATTCATTCAAGCGGAGTGACATTTTGGACTACCCCTGCGCTGTCCAGATAGGTATTCACGTGTGCTTGAGTACCGCTCTCGTTGAGCGGATTATGGCATGGAGGAGGTCTGCAGTTCCTATGACCGCCTCCGACTCTCACCTGGCTCGGTAGGCCAAGAATACCTGTAGAAGTTCTGCAACTAACTCCACTTCTCCAGAAGCCAGTAAAGTGGGGCTAAGCTTAATTGGCTTTCGCTAGGTAACGCGTCTCCCGTCGCGTCCTGTCGCGTCTGTCGTGTAGTAAACCCACCACTTTGTCCAGATATCTATGTACCTTATTATACCAAGCTTGCTAGATCTAGCATTCAGCCCTTGGTAATTTCTCAACACTGCACGTTAAGTGTGCATTACTGGCAGGATGTCGTCACACATCGCCTATCCATCTTCACCTCCAAGAGATGAACCTGCTCTGAATGCCACGAATCGACCGTCCCGTGACGAGACAAACGGAATTCATAGCGCCCAAGACGAGTCGGGTGCCAAATTGAAGTCCAAGGCAAGACCGCGCGTTACCGCGGGGTTCCTTGACGACGACTCAGATGATGACCTGGTTGACGAGCAACGGTCTCCTAAACGAAGAGCCCTCGACCATGCATTTTCGCTCGACACCACCAGCGGCCCCAGAGCGAGCACGGAGGCAGCGCAGATTATAGACCTGGATGAAACCCTCGAGAATGAGCTTACGGCGACGCAAGAGAGCATTGTGACGCCTCCAGACAGTCAACCAGCCGAAGACAAGCCAACAGATGGTCTACCCCGATATGGCGACTTGTTCGGTGCCCTCAAGACCGGCTTGTTTTCAAGTGTACTCTCTAAACGGCCATCAACGCGATCAACCTACAACATTGTCACCTGCTCGGGAAAGTCAAATCTGGTCGGTCTGAAGAAGCCTACGACGACGGTTTCGTACGAGAGCATGGTCGCTGCGCGGTCCAAGACAAAGGAAGGACGCGCCAAACGAAGCTATTACGGCATTGAGGTCCATGAGCTGGTCAGCAGTGCGAACAAGGAGCTTGCGGACGAAGCACTCTCGAGAAAAACACAACCGACGACGCGACCTGCCAATCCCGATAAGCCCGTCCACTCCGTTGAAGGACATCATACAAAGAAACCCAAGCGATCTCTGCTGTGGACCGAGAAATACCGAGCCCGAAACTTTACCGATCTTGTTGGCGACGACCTTACAAATCGGCAGGTATTGAAGTGGTTGAAGCGATGGGATGCGATTGTGTTCCCACACGCCGCAAAGAGAGTGCCTGTGGTCAGACGCCCGGCTAATCCTACGCAGCCGGTGGAAGAGAAGCCGCATAAGAAGATCTTGATGTTAACGGGGCCCCCTGGCCTGGGAAAGACTACACTGGCGCATGTCTGCGCTCGACAAGCTGGCTACGAGGTGCTGGAGATCAACGCCAGTGATGACCGAAGTCGGGATGTGGTCAGGGGACGCATCAGGACATCGCTCGGCACGGAGAGTGTGAAGACGGTGGAACACAAGAAGGCCGTGCCAGGGATACAGCAAAAGATCGCTAAACCGGTCTGTGTCGTTGTTGATGAGGTTGACGGTGTTGTCACTGGGTCTGGCGGCGGTGGAGAGGGAGGTTTCGTCAAGGCATTGATCGATCTGGTTCTTACGGACCAGAAGAACAGTGCCAATGGTGCATCAGAAGGCAGTAAGCGTAAGAAGAAGAAGGGCGATGACTTTAGACAGATGAGACCGTTGGTCTTGATCTGCAACGATGTCTACGCTCCTTCACTTCGGCCGCTGCGGCAATCAGGATTAGCCGAAATCGTGCATGTCGGCAAGCCCTCTATCGACGCTGTTGTAGCCCGGCTGAAGGGCGTTTTTGAGAGGGAAGGCATTCCCTGCGAGAGGGATGCGGCTCGGAAGCTCTGCGAGGCTGCTTGGGGCATGACGAGTGGTATAGATGCGAAGAGAGGAGCGGAAGGAAATGCGGAGGGTGATCTTCGAGGTGTTATGGTGGTCGGCGAGTGGGTAGCCAGTCGATTGAAGGCCGCCGCGAACCCAGGACATCCAATACGACTCACCAGGCAATGGGTCGAGAAGAACATCATCCAAGACCTAGCGCACGGCGGAGGAGGAGCCAGGGGTTTAGGGCGAGGCGGCACAAAGGAGATTGTCACACGCATCTTCCAAGAAGGTGCTGGATTTCCAAAGCAAACCCTCAAGACGGACAAGAATTTCCGAGACGAGCAACCAGCCGCCCAACTGAGCTTTTCGGAACAGCAGAAGAAGTATGCTGCTGTTCGGCTGGCCGAGATGATCGAGACATGCGGAGAGGTGGACAGAATCATGACAGAGATCTTCCTTGAGTACCCCAACCGAGAGTTTAATGACGACAGCTTCTTAACCAAGCCGGATGAGGCCTACGAGTGGCTGCACTTTCATGACAATTGTACGAAGAGACTCTACAGTGGACAAGAGTGGGAGCTCGCACCCTATCTCAGCCAGCCAGCTTTGGCCTGCCATAATCTCTTTGCTTCGCCAAAACGACATGTCCCTGAGACTGAGGGCCGCAGGTGGGGAGACATGGACGAGAATGCACCGCCTCCAGTACCATTTTCAGGAGCCCGGGCAGACTTTGAGGCGAGGGAAGCGGAGAAGGCCAATCGGGCTATGCTCCAGAGCATCCAAGCCTCCCTGCCGCCAACACTGCACCGAGTATTCCGCAGCCCGGAAGACGTTGCCTCAGACTTCTTACCGTATCTGGTGCGACTGGTCAGTCCGGATGTCAAACCTGTCGTGGTTGGGGGTGGCAGTGACAAGGGGTCCGTGGCCAGCGTGAGGAGAGAAGGTGAACGAGCCATGGTCAAGCGCGCTGCTGGCGTGCTAGCCGAAGTGGGCATACAGTTGATCAAAGGTCGCATCGAGGAGGCCGGTGGAGGGGTCATGGGGAGGACGCAGTGGGTGTACCGGATGGAACCGTAGGTTGACTCTACCCGCTTCATTCCCAGCCAACACTATAGCCACTAACACCAACCTCCAGTGATCTCGATATTCTAGCGACTTACGAGACGGCCGGCGCCCTCGCGCTAGGCATGCAGGCGCCAACGCGCTACGCAGTCCGCCAAGTCCTCGATCAAGAACTCCAGAAAACCATAGCGCTTCGCGAGGCCGCGGCCAGGCAAGCGCGCTTCAAAGCTGGCAATGCGGAAGGCGTTCAGGACGAGTACCACTTTGATGACAAGGAGAATGTCACTGTGAAGGAGGGCACCAAGACAAAACAGTTCTTCGCTACGGGAACCGGAGGGTCAGATGTCAAACGCGACTTCTTTGGACGGGTGATTGCTGAGAAGCCGGCGCCGTTGGGACAGACTGATGGGAATGCTGGTGCGGGAGCGAGCGTCAAGCCTGCTATCAAGGTTTGGGTCACGTTTCACGAAGGTCAGAATAATGCTGTGCGGAAGCCGATTTCTCTGAAGGAGTTCTTGAGAGGACTTTAGGTCGGTGCACGGGAAGGACTGCTGGCTGGCTCTAGAGTGGTGGACGTTTCTGTATGTAGCGTGCTGTCTGGTTGAATCTTTCTGTCCTAGACTGGACCAATGGTCCTGGTGTTGTTCTATTCGTAGCGATCACCAACACCTCTATTAGAGCGCCTATAATGTAGTAGCTTCACCCCAATCAACGGCCAAGTGTGGCAAGCCTCGAGTGCAAGGCACATCGAACGCACAGTGGACGTATTTTCTCGACGCCCTTCCATCTGCATGCTGGTTGAATGAGCACCCCGAAGTAACGCACAGAGAATGGCATCCTGATTACGGTCAAAGCTGTCCTGCGAACGGGGTTGGTGTAGGGAGTTGCTACGACGGCCAGTGTCATCCCCCACGCTCAAGGCAGTTTGACACTCACTTTATTCGCACTTCTGATATTGGGCCTACTACCAAAGTCGCTCACTTCATTTCAATCGCATTCAGAGTGAGTCTGCCTTGAGATTCGGTGACAGTGCCAAGGGGGCACATTGTCAGTGTGAAAGCCACGTCGGGTTTAGCGGCTTTCATGCGACCGTTCTGTGCGACCACCTGCCGCGCGCTTCGTTTCAGCAATCCAGCCTTGGCCGAGAATGCGACCACATCAATTGTGATAGGGGAAGCCTTTCCACAGTACCCGGCACAGTTCGAGGCATGGAGTGCTTCGGAAGTAAACCGGTGAGCTCTTCGATCTCCAATAGACATGCTCCATCTACTGACTGTTGGTTCCAGACAATATACTATTTGTCTTAAAACGTTCAAAGCCTTTCACAGCCTCGCTGCACCAGCACCAGCATGCAGCATGTCTACCTTAGCACGCCCCTGTCGACAGCCTAGTTCCTATCTGGCCCTTGAAACATGGTGGTCAGCCAGATGAAGGCATCGTGTTTACGGCCGTATGCCTTGTCTGCGCACCTATTCGCAAGAGCCCTTGTGCAGTAGACGTTGACGACCAATGTTCAC